GGACATGGCCCTTGACAGGGAATTATGGAGGTCGAGCATTAAGGTTGTAGGTTAGGGAAAAATGTGAATATTTCTACAGTACAATAGAGTGAGACTAGCAAGTTAGGAGTTAGACTAAGAATGTCATTGGTCGTCTATTGATGCAGGGCTTTACCTGCTAGTTTTACTATACCAGCCATCTATTTCGTATTTCGTATTCTGTATTTCATATCTCTTATATTGCTGTTATTTTATGTTATGTTATTTTATTATGCATTTCTTATGGTATTAATATATCGGCTCATGTTGCTTTTTTTGAGCCAAGGGTCTCCTGGAAACAGCCTCTCTACCCTTCGGGGTAGGGGTAAGGTCTGCGTACATGTTACCCTCCCCAGACCCCACTTGTGGGATTATACTGGGTTGTTGTTATTGTAAACGTCTTAGTTGAATGAATCTTTCTCCTAAGATACCAACAAAAAAACAAAAAAAAAGAAGAAAAAGGCCTAGTATGATGAATTTCCTCCTAGGATTAACGTCTTAGTCTGATGAATCTTTCTCCTAAGATAGAAAACCTAGTCTGACGAATTTTCTCCTAAGATATTTTGAAGAAAAAAAGGAAGTCTGGATTTGAAAGAAAAAAGGTCAATTTTTTGTTTTCTTAAGGTTATCAATGTTTAGTTTTCCTGAAATCAGGAGGCTCTACCTGGAGAATAGGGTCAATTTTTACTTTAGTCAAGCTTAGTTTATAGTTTTCCGCAAGCTCAATCACGTTTAGGAGACGCACATCCTAGTCGAATCATTAATTTTACTCTCATCATTGCATCCTTCATCAGCATCGCAGGTGATTTATAGTTTTGTTAACACTCACAGATGTTCCCAATATCAAACTGGGGCAGGAAAATTTCTTTTGTTTTGTCTGTTTTGTTGTAATCAGGTGCTCACCTGGAGAACAAGGGAAGACAACTCAAGTTTCTAGGGAAAGCAGTGTCGAAGGAAGACAACTCAAGTTTCAAGGGAAAGCAGTTTCGAAGGAAGACAGTTCAAGTTTCAAGGGAAAATGGTTCAAGATGCAAGGGAAAACAGTGTCAAGTAACAAGAGAAGACGGTTCAAGTTTAGCAATCAGGCGCCCACTTGGAAAAAAGGAATTCAATTCAGAATGCAATTCAGGTCAGCAACAAAAGAAGCTCGCATCAAGAATACGAGTCAGCAGTCCTAGAGGATTAACAGAAGTTAGTCACAATCCAGAATAAAAAGAAAAAAAAAGAAAAAGAAAGACAAGAAGTGAATCCAAATGCAGAAGTTAATGAAAGATGTGAGCTGCTCAAGATAGGGCTGAGATCACAAGCTCTGCATGTCCCGTCTTGGTTTGAAAAGCTGAAGAAGATTAAACCAACACCTGCTGCTAACAAACATCAAGATTCAGAACAGAGTCTGCATGAAAAAACAACCAAGACTCAAGATCAAACTTCAGAAGACTTATAGATAGGAATCTTGTAAATCGTAGCTGATAGGCTTAGTTAGTTTTTTATTTTTTATTTTGATGTAATAACGGGACTGTGGACCGGAACCTCAGCGGAACGGCACCTCGACCGGCTCTTTACCTCGGCACACTCCATCATCTCACTCACTTCTGAACTACACGTGGCCTGATTCCTTTATAGCCAAGGATATGTAGGCAACTCAGATATCAGGGCTCGGTCACATTTTCCTTTTCTCTTAGTTTTAGTCTCTACAAATAAGGGTCGGGTCAAAAAACCTGTCTAGTCGTTCTTTGTCTGAAAATACTTCGTCTTTCAAGTCAAAGAGGGGCAGCTGTAGACATGTGATTTTTGACCCTCCTCAAGATTTTTTATACTTTAGCATGTAAATATTTAATTTAGGTCTAATATCGCTATTTCAATCAATTTTGACTCTTTTACTTTATTTTATTATAAGAAAATAAAAATTACAAAAATATTTTATTTTATGTACCTTTCATAAAATAAAAAAAATACAAAAAAAGTACCTTATTTTTATCTTTATACAATCTTGAAAAATACAAAAAATATATAATAGTTTCATGTTTTAATATAGTTTAGTTTAATTTATTAGAATTTATTTTTGTATCATGTAGTATAATTATCTTATATTAAAGGAATTTAGCTATGGTTTTGAATAATAATTTTGGAGTCTTCTTAGCCCAAAATTGAGACACAAAAAGACATGGTCCAACCCAATTACCCTTAGCTCATTCTTCCCAACCCATTAGCCCATTTAAGTGCAAGATTTAATCCTAACCATCTATTTCCTTCTAATCCAATGGCCATCATCCCTACCCAAGAAAAACGGCACAGGAGCTCTTCTTCATTTTGTTCCTCATTTCTCCAAGCTCAACAATCAGACCCTTACCCCTTAACGGCGCTCCATCGCTGCTACCTCCTCCTCCATATCCAGACCCCTCATCTCCCATAATCAAAAGCACAAAAACACCAGCCCTTCTTCTTCGCAGGGAACCTTAGGACCTAGGAAGCTAAGAGTTTACCCCATTTCCTTTGACAAAGAGCAGCGATGCTCAAAAGAAAAAAAATATAAAAAAATCAGCCTCTTTAACTTATCCTCTCACTCTCAACACGCCTACATACAGTTGTTGAAGCTTAAGAATTTCTATAACTCAACTTCAAACTCCTTAGAAAGAAGCAATCAAATGTCGGATTTGAAATCACATAGCCGATTTAGTATTTCAGCCTTTCTTCTTCATAATCTCTGTGGTTTTCAAGGTTATTAGAAGCTATAGATGAGCTGCTTGTTTATCAATTTGGACTGCACTGGTTGCTGAGTTTCAAATTTCTGTATCTCGCCTTTATCCAGTCCTTTAAGCTGGTTCTCGCATAACCAGGTATTTACTTGTGAACTTGTTTTTTTTTTTTTTTTTTTTT